ATATTGGTTAACATTATTCAAGCGGGCAAGAACAGCTTTGTAAGGAAAAGGGTTTCTATTAAAAATGTACTTTATATAACATAACAGAACATAGTGATGTCGGCGCTGAAGCGTAGGCCTGATGTGGCCTGTCGCCGATTCTTTTTCTCTTTTTCGTGCCTTATTCACAGAAGATCTAAAATCGTGTCATTTGATAGGATCTTTTCATGACTGACGATAGTTTGAAGTAGCTACTAGACTTCCACCGGGTTCGATAAGGAGCTAGGCATTTTGCTTTATCTAGTTTGTTCTTGAACGCGTTCATACTTTGAGCGCCAACGATGTCAGCCAGTAATTCGAGGATCCCTCTATTTGATGATAAAACATAAAAATCGCCCTGATATTCTAAAATGTTGGTCTTTGGGCTTCAGATTCACGGATCTCAATTGAATNTGATGATAAAACATAAAAATCGCCCTGATATTCTAATATGTTGATCTTTGGGCTTCAGATTCACGGATCTTAATTGAATTTGCTGCATACTTTGGAACGCAACTTCTACCTTAACAGAGCGTAAAATTTATTCAAGCTTTATCCTCTTCCGTGTTGTGAATTTTGTTGTTCCGTTCAATATATTGGTATTTTTGAAGTTTGAAATTATGATCGAGCTGGTCTCCGAATGGTTTTGAAAAAAATGTATGGAATTTATATATATTGGGAATTTTCATTATCTTGGCCATTGAACTTCTCGCCAATTGGTGATTGAAGCAGATTGGTAATATAAATACGTAATAATTCTCGAAATTTAGCACACGTGCTCGACGTCACAGGCACTAAGTCGCAACTAACAACGCAAAAAATGCATGAAAAATATTCGGTACAATTTTTCGTAAATTGTACCGAATATTTTACATAAATTGTACCGTAAATTGATATGTACTACTGTCATTTTCAAAATTCCATTTCAAGTGTTGGAAAACCTTACCCTGCTTGATAATGAAAATTGTATTTTCGAAACGTCGCAATCTATTAAAATGTCATTGGGAAACCTGCTTTTCGATCTCCAGGCTCCAGCTATAAAGTTTGGTTCGACTCATTGAAAAGACGAATAAGAAGATTGTTAATAAAAAGCATGCTCTGGTCTTCAATCAAACTTGCATAAAAGAGAAGCTTCTGCCGAACTACACCAATTTTTCATAAACGGGCACATACGCTCACCGAACGCTGGGCGTCGTGAGGTGGCAACATCGTACAGCTGGCAGGCGATGCCGTCGCACGAACCTGCTAGTAGCCGCTCGCGGGTGGCGGGTGGCCCACGTGTACGTTGCCCTCCAGGCCGGGGACTGCTCTGCTCTTCTCCGCTGCGAGGGTTGCGATAAATTATACCTCGAGGATCAATTCTGGGATCAATGCCGTTCAAAGGCTGGCGATTTCCGACGGGTTTTTGGTAGGGGTCGTATATTTTGGAAGAAGTCTTGCTGTTGTTGTACGAATCCGCAACATAGATATTGCTTCTCCCAGGCAACAGCATGTCATGGTCACCCAAATTAGGTAAAAATGGATCACGTGAGAAGTATTTGTCTTCAGACATAGGTGATTTTTTCGACAGAATCTCTCCATAATCCGCATTGTAATTTTTGTTTGTTATGGGGTCAGGTAGCGGCCCGGCAGTGGAGACAGCTACTGAATTATAGTCTAAATAAGAACTTGTTTGGGAAGTACTCTTATTTTTCAAGTTTCTGTCGTGCGGAAGACACTTTCGCGACGTAATATGCAGACACGACACGTATTCTGCGCTACAACAAACCGACGTAAAGCTGCCGATACTTAATAATAAGACTAGTGTGATAAACTGAGAATGCATTTTGAATTTCTGGAAGATTTCAGAGATGTTATTTTTTTATTGTGCGTTGCCACTATTAGTATGCCACGTAATTAAGAATTAATATAAAATAGAATAAACCAACTCTCCAAAACGAACTTCGCTCATGTAACAGAAACAAAATAAAATTTATGTTCTCTCAAGTTTTACATACTGCGACGTTACATTATTAAATGAACAACCCTGGGTCGTTATATATTGAATGATATTCTTGTAACTTAATCCATGTCGACCTCGGTCACTCGGTGGTTTTAAAAAACCCAATGTCCAGTGAAATTTAATCAGATAATCAACAATGAGGTTATGCAGACCTTAACCTGTTTCAAATCAAAGTCACGTTTAGAAATAAATTTTCGCGCGTGTTAACATTTTTTGTAAATAAGTTTTAATGTTTTTGACAAACTTTTATTAATTCCTGAAACGGAACACTAATTTTGAATAAAAGATAACCTTGTTCGGCACGAGTTTTGCATACATGTCATCGGAACTTGAGTTTGACTTGCGATATCGTAAGGATTGAATGGTCAAATTGATTGCATAGTTGCGAGTTTTATTTCTCTTTGATGATAATTTTCTCACACGACCAAATTGGACCGACAAAACCAACACACATCCACCACGACTGCCAGCGAGCAACTGGTACCCGCAGAGTGAGACCCGAGTGAAGACTCCCGGTGTCTGCCAAATGTCGCGCACTCAGAAATGTATATGGGTCATGTTGTGAAAATAGTGACACAGCACACGAGCAGGAAGCGGATGCACTCCCAGTCGCCGGGCCAAACTTGGTCTAGGGTGACCCTACCACGGGCAAATAGTGCATTGGTATTTGGACAAAGTCTTACTCATTTCCGTGAGTGCGCACATCGTTTGTTGGTTAGGCAGCACGAGCAAGAGGGTAAGGAGCAACAACTTCGTGTAACGAGCCTCACTTTGTGACTATAAATAAACATCGCTGAGCGAGACTTCTTGATTGCTACTTCTAAACAATGCAAGGTAGTGGCAGTTATTTTTAAACAAATAATAGGAATTGAATCATGAGAAACGCACAAGCACGAGTCAGAAAAGAACGCCTTGTTTCTAAAGCACAGTTCTTTATGTAAAACCCAACACGCGTGACTATAACCTCTCAAGCAGCAAGCTGAAAAGCCTACCGTAAAGGATAGTAGTTAAATATCCCTGTTATGAAGTGACTTCTATTCTTGAGCCCATAAAAACTTCCATTTTGTAGGTGATAGAACATAAAAAATCGATGTTCTACCAAAAAATAAACAAGGAATACATACGAAACACCGAATAATTTGAACACTATTTTAATGAAGAAGTTAAACCTCTACATAAATTCGAATAAGCTTCGAATACCATCAGATCATGGGTTACAAACTAATTAAGACTCCATCTTTCACACCGCAGAAAGAAGACAACGGTTTTCGCGTGCGCAAGCAACTAAACACATTAATTGTAAGCGAGGAACTGCGTAGACGATAATGCCAGACGTACAATAAAAAATTGCAGCAATAACGACATGAATTACGAAAAAAATTATTCGTAGGTATAGCATTGGCACTCGAACACTGAGGTCAGCAAATCGAGTACCAAGGTTCTCTTTAACAATTCCTGTCGATGTTCCGACGGATAGGTGCAAAAAGAAAAAAATAAACTGCATTCCAGGACTGACGTGAAGTGAGAACTACACGGTGCAGTCATCGCCTTGAAATGTTAGCATCATAGAGTATGACCAAAGCAAAAGCAAGTATCTAAGATGCCTTAGTTATCCATGAAAAACCCGGGATCTAACTACAGTAAGTGTCGGAAACATTCATTTACTTTCATATTCTACTTTCATGTTTTAAAATAATTACACTGGAGAACAAAACTAATATTCAAAATACTCATAATACATTGTATAACTAATAGCTGCAGCAACGGTACAACCTAAAGGAATCATCAGGTCGTCGTAGTAAGGTAGTTCAATGGGACTCGCCAGGACAGCCTAAACAGCTGCAAGCGTTAGAAAAATTCATTTATATTCACATTTACAAATACTTGTTCATCTGACCAAGATTGAATTTAATTAGCTGCTAAACACAAGCAAGTTGCAGCCGAAAGTAAATACCTCAAGGGGGAGAAAAAATAGAAGAAGTATAGCATTACGACTACGCAAATGGTAGCAAATTAATTGGAAGGTTTCGTTATGACTCGTTAAAATCATCAGACATGAGGATCGTAGAGAAGTATGCAGATTTGCTGCTTCAATAAAAATTGTTGAACTAAACTGATAGCTTTGCATGATATAAAAGAAACTTTGATAAGTGGACAGCATAAGAAATATTACACCTTCTTAGACGGTACCTAATTTACAACCTTTAGCCTTGCAATGCTCAATGTACAGCTTTTTATTTCTCCACTCAGTTGTATCTTATAGGTAAGAACACCCTTAACAAGGTAACTAGGAAGTAATATACAAGTATTACATCAATTTCGAAGGGTTTACAGGGTATCAAACAAATAAACAATGGAAATTATAACCTCTAATTTAGAGGTTATGCGTAATTGACGACTAAACTAAGGTTTGACTATCAACATTGCACATTATCAATCACCTCTCACTAGTCCAACGAGATTTAACTATACTTTTAGTTCTGTATCATAACATAATAAATTCTGCATCATACTTACCGCGCCAGACTTCCACACCACCTGGTCTGGCAGCCTCGCTCATATTTGGTTCAGAAGGAACAACAGTAAAGTTCATTTTGAAGACTTGAACAGTAGCGAGTAATCTTACTCATAGGATGGGGACTCTCCCATTACAAAATTCGTCGCCTCAAACTATATAATTGAAACTTTTATTGTTCAATCTTTTAGGAATTACATAGCATTGTACGTATACAGAAGAAGTTCATTCTTTTCAATTGAACTTGTTCAATTTTTGTATCAATCAATATTAAAATTTGATAGAAATTTTTATTCAAAATTTATACAGAAGACACTTCAGAAAAAATTCAAGTTAAAAAAATGAAGAAAGAAAAGAAAAAATACAACTCAGTACTCACTGCAGTGAGTGACAGAGAGCGCATTTTCTTGTCGACGAACACGTGGAGTCACGGACGGCCGGACAGACAGACGGACATGGCGAGCACAATAGTGCATTTTTCCATCAACGAGAAAATGCGCTAAAAAATAATTCAGAAGATAATATTCAACGAAGTCGTCATCTTGAAAACACAACCGACCGAAATGAAAAGGCGATTCCTATACTCAGATCTTTTGCTAGTTACGCTCAGGTACAGCGATTATCCTTAGGCTGATCGTAAGATTATCCTTAAGACGGCCCAGTTGAGCGACCTCTTCCACTCCTACGCAAGCCCAGCTCCCTCTTCCAGCTGGTAAATCTCATCGATTATCCTTCGGCTGATCGTAAGATTATCCTTAAGATGGCCCAGTTGAGCGACGTCGTCCACTCGTATGCTAGGCCCAGTCTCATCGATTATCTTTAGCCATGGCATGGAAGGCCCAATTAAGGGAAGTTTTCCAGGTGTTCTTCATGGCTTCGCCAAACTCCTTCCTGAAATGCTGCAGAGCGTCCTCGTCACTGAGACTCAGCTGCAGTCTGTCGTTGATGTAGGCGAGGTCTCGCTCGTCTTGTAGCTCCTGCAGCCCTGTGCTGATCATCATAGCAAATAGCGATATGATAAACGTTCCATACTCCCTCAGAATCATATAAGCTTCTTCGCAGTTCTTCTTGAACTTTTCAAACTCGCCAGACTGCTTAGGACTTCCAGTGCTTGTGCTGCCTTTGGTGATCACATAAATGAAGTCGTGGGTTAGCACAAAGGGCTGATGCTCTCTCTTGAAGCCAAACTTCTCTTTGAAGTGTCCCAGAATGTGGCCGAAATCTATGTGGAAAAGTTGTCCATTCTCCATGATCATGATGTTGTCTGAGTGACGGTCAGCAATGCCCAGGACGTAAGTGGCAACGCAGTATCCAGCGCACGACATCGTGAACTCCGACACCGCTTTGTTCAGAAGAGCCTCTGTCGTGTTCTTCTCTTTCAGCCACTCTGATGAAAGCAAGACGAACAAAAACTAATAGCTAGAATTCAACAATGATGCTTCTCAAAGTTGGTTTGCCCAGTTCTAGGATGAGCACGTGAATATCCGTAAAAAATCATTTAAGGTACGAACAATTGGAACTTATAGCGAAACTTGCGATGTACGAGCAAGCTCTGTACGAGCAAGCTCTGTACGAGCAAGCTCTGTATTTACCCTTAAAGAAGCAAGCTCTGTATTTCAGCAGAGAATGTTCATTAAAGTCCGGTATTTCCCAAATAGTACTTTAACCTTCATAGATTAAAATAACGCACTCGCCGTGAAGAGAACCCTTCCTACACGAGCAGCCATACATTCAGCTCCTTCCTCGTGATTGTTTCACCATCATATACATAATAATAGCACAAATAGCACTAACCGAGAAGAGAACCCTTCCTGAACGGGCAGTAATAGACATTCAATGTATGTCCGAATGCCTATCACATTCAGTAATAGGCATTCAGGCATGCATTCCAGCCCCACTCTCGTAATTGTTTTACCATCATATACATAATTATAGCACAAGTAACACTAACCGAGCAGAGAACCCTTCCTGAAGGGGCAGGTCGCTGCCAGCATGCCCTTGTCGCGCTGGATGTTCGCGATGGTCGTCGCTTGCCTCACGCCCTCAATGAGACCCTCCACATTAGCCGTCGACATGCAGCGGTACGGATTCATCCTGGAAGAAAACACGTAAATTTTTACCTCCGTAACAGATATTATTTATTTCCATTAACATCCGTAACCGAGCCATGACGAAATTAGCCACGGGCCCACGGCTTCATCCTGGGCGAAAAAAACCGTGATTTCTTTACCGTCAACCGTGTTCGTTTTTGTAAATATTGTTTGTTCTCGTCTGATAGGTTAAGCAACCCTCTTATTAAAAACGAAAATCTCTTATTCATAATGGTATTCCACTTAACATTAAAGTTAAACCTCTATTGGCAAAGTAGACTGTTATCGGAAGATAGGTTCACTTAATTTTTGATTCACAAACTAGGTTAAGCTCACTTGAAGTCGAGGCCGCGCTTCTTCCAAAGTTTGTCCATGATTCGGATGGTCTGGAGCGTGAGCATGTCTTGCCTGAGATCGTCACCGTACTTGTAAAGCAACGACACGTCGTCGCCTTCCTCGTTCTCAAACACCAGCCACAGCGGCGCCATCTTTGATTCCATGCTTCGGCAACTTTCGGCTCTGAATTATTAAGTCAAAGTCTTAACAATTGACGAAGTCCGTAGATAATAGCAAAGATAGTAGGAAAACCAACCGGCAACGATCTAAATGGAAACATACAATAGAACTTTTAAGACCTCCTTTGAGACGGCACAGGTTTTGCGTGGCAATAAAAATAGAATCAGGTCCTTGACAACTAATCTTGACTAATCATTTGAAGCTCATTTGCTAAGGTACAGAACAAATACAAAGAAATCATGCCTTTGACAACTAATCAAGACCTGAAGCGGGGTGCTCACTTTATAAGGCACAGGTTCTGCGTAGAGTCGAGCAGGTTACGGAAGTTGGAGAAGGCGAGTCTCATTTCGTCGTTGCGAATGAGCTCCTGCAGCGCTTCGCGGGACTTGCCACTCTTCTGCTTCATGACGTGTGCACGAATATCTGTACGTAAAAAGCAAGCAGAGTTATTTACCATTCATACGCACTGGAGATGTGTGCGCTAAAACCATGCACAGTTATTATCATAAAACTGGTAATGCAATGCAAATCCATCACAAATTGTTTCCACATGAGATCTTTACATAAAAACAATGGATACTTATTATAAAACTGGTTATACGATGTAATTACACCACAATTTGTGTGCAAACAGATAACTGAAAGTAAATATTACTTAGTTTAGTCGAAATGTACTTTAGAATACATGGAAGTAAAATAACAGGCTCGCATCAGGCCCTTAAATTATGGTGAAATTATTACTCATTATTATGAGTCATAATTATCATATTACGCTCAGACAACTCAGAAATTATGACAACTGGTGAAATTATGACTCAGATTGATGATCAGTATCGATTGAAGCAAACAAAGCATGATAATGTTCAATTAACCGAGACAAAAAGCAGTCGCTTCAATAAAAATCCTGCAATTTAAAATTCAGTAATTTTATCAACTAAATTCACAAAGCCATAGAGAATAACATTGGCTCATAGCAGCATTGTCTGCAAAAGACAAAAGAACAAGCACTGACCCATAATCAACTCAGCCCTAACAAGACAGAAGACAACAAAAGGCCTTGTAAAAACAGAAACGACAATACAGGCCTATCATAACTGTAGTAATAATTATAACAATAATAATAATAGCAATGCTCATAATAATAAGAAGTCTGTTTCACACACCCCTAAACTTGGTGAGCGCCTCGAGCTGCTTTGACAGGATCTTCATGTGCTCCTGGGCACCTTTGCAGTACGCCTCCAGGATCAGTCCGAACCTGATGGATACGGAAGGCACGTGCATCTCAGACCTGCACAAATACGAGCTATTACGTACATTATAGTAGGGAGAATTAGGAATATAGTACAAAGTTAGGAAGCGGGAATTGGGGAGAGTACAAAGTGAGGGAGCGGGAATTGGGTATAGTACGAAGTGAGGGAACGGGAGTTGGGTATAGTACAAAGTGAGGGAGCGAGAATTAGGAATCGTACGAAGTTATGGAGCGGGAATTGAGTACTAAGTACCAAATAAAGTGCCAGGTAGTGGTGAAAATAACGCGCATACAAACGTGGTTTAATATCAAGATACATTTTTTTATTGACTGGAAAATGTGTGGACGAGGTGGAAAGATCATTCGGACCATTATTCTCACACAAGAATTTACAGGCTGCAAAGCTTGTCTCTACATGAAACCATTAACAACCAAAAGGATCTCTTTAACTCTCATATATGGGTACTGAATTCACGTATTGTCCAACCCGTATTTTACACAGATATTCTCTAAAACTGACCGTAGTGCAAGCAAAATTTTAGTTTTCAGTCGTCAGTGTCTTGATATTTACTGTTAAACGTTACTAGTCGATCTTTAGCGATTCCCTTGGTTTGTCTAATTTCTGTAATTTCAGATCGGTTCCTCTGTGCATAAAAAAGCACTAGATGCACAGTAAGATTTCGAACACATATTTTGCAGCGCGTTTTGACAAAATCAATTGTTGTGCGGGCAGGAGATCTAGTCTAGCAGTATCTGCAGGTATTGTAATGACGGCGGTGAATTGAGACCGCGACGGTGCGACGAGGGGCTATGATGGCGACGAGGGATTGACCTGAGATGCCAGAAGAGGAAGTGGCCGATCTTAGTGTTGTTGAGGGCGCGGCGCAGGAGGAACTCTGCCAGGGTGCAGTTCAGGTGATTCTCGTGCTTAAGCGCCTGTGTCAGCTGCAGCAGGTACAGCAACAGGTCCTCGTCGCTGCAATGAATACAATATTACTTTCCTGTCAGTCTTTATGCACTATTGTAGTTAGTTTGTTTTATTTTCAATTTAATGTGAGAAATTATACTATTTCACGAACTATTATAATTAGTCAATTTGTTAGTTTATGTCATTTTAATTTAAAGTGAAAAATTATACTATTTCACGAACTATAATAGTTAGTCAATTTGTTGGTTTGCTTTATTTTAATTTACTGTGAAAAATTATACTATTTCACGAACTATTATAGTTAGTTGGTTTATTTTAATTNTTTTTAATTTACTGTGAAAAATTCTACTATAAGAGAATAAATTCAAAGTTTATAAATATTATAGTTAGTTTCTTTTATTTTTAATTTACTATGAAAAATTCTACTACAAGAGAATAAATTCAGAGTTTATAAATATTATGCTTCGTTTGCTTTATTTTTAATTTACCATGAAAATTTTCTACTATAAGAGAATAAATTCAAAGTTTATAAATATTATGCTTAGTTTGCTTTATTTTTAATTTACCATGAAAAATTCTACTATAAGATAATACATTCAGAGTTTAAAAACTATGCAGTTGAGGGGTTGTTCGGAACGTTTCCTAGGCACGGTCACCTGAACTTAGCGATGCACTCAACCGCGTAGTCGCGCACGACAGGCTCGGCGTAGTTGTAGTCCAGCAGCTCGAGGGCGTAGCGTGGCTCCATCATGGGCCACTTGTCCAGCAGTTCTGTCACTTGCGACACCTGCCACCATAAATTTATTTGTTACCACTGAGAAGAATCATTTTTAGCGCATTTTCTCCTTTATGGAAAAAATGCACTATTGTGCTCGCCGTGTCCGTCTGTCCGTCCGTGACCTCAAGTTTTCGTCGACGAGAAAATGCGCTCTCTGTCACTCACTGCAGTGAGTACTGAGTTATATTTTTTTCCCCAGTCACCATAGGTGTTGCAGTCACGTCTGAACTGTTGTACACATCATGCTAATTAAGTTTGTTTTGATCACGGCTTATGGATTGATTCATAACATTAATAGCTGGCGATGCAATGCAGAATACGTTTTTGATGCTATTGTAATATTTTTTCCCCAATCAATATTATATTCCTTCATAAATTATCAAATTATTAATCACAACCTGAATTCTGGAGTTCCAGTCAACACAGTCCAGTAGTCTGGGAAGGATATTAGTTCATANTAGCGAGGGAACGTCAGCGTTATGGCCGTGGCAGCTTCGTGATCAGGGTTGCTTACCACCGTACCTGCACGCCATTAAATTACATAAAAAAAAAACATATGAGAAGTTACATTCAAGTAAATGAACGTTAACGGGTGAACGTCAACGTTATGACAGTAGAAGCATTGTGGCCAGAGTTTCGTACGAGGATACCATCCATCAAAATCAACAATCAACGAGGATACCATCAAAATCAACAATCAACGAGGATACCATCAAAATCAACAACCAACTCCTTCCGCTTGAGCACAACCCAAAAATATTTGGCGGCTGCTAAAACCTCAAAACGCAGAAACATAATGAAATACCTCTTAGGCACTTCCTACGGACAAGATAAAGAAACCCCAATACAAACATACAAAGCCATCGGATGCCCAATAATCAAGTACACCAGCTCAATTGGTTTCCTGTCACTTCTTCCACCAACATCACCTGCCTTCGAACAGTTCAAAACTCAGATCCGAGAACAATAACCGGTTGCTACGATACAACCGCGGAACAACATTCCCACTCCGAATATCAAATGGTCACCGTCAGGCAACAGCAATGCTCAATACACACTCCTCTCCGCCCAATACCTTTTGCAATTCCGCAACCCACAACAAGCTAGCCATCAAATCACATGACCGGACCACAAACCCCACAACAAAAGAAATACTCTTTACACTAAATACATCAATGCTCCTTCATCATAATAAAAAAATACATCAAACTTCAAACTCCTCCATCAAAATACATCAAACTCCACTTCAACGCTGCCCGAGCTGCTATACTCTCGTACCACGCACCGATCCTGCATGCTCAACGGCTGGCCTCTTACACTACCAACAATTGAAAGTCTGGACAATCACTTTCAAGATCTGCTGGCACAAATTCGCTCTGGTCACTGCATACTTCTGAACAGTTACAAGAGCAGAAACAACAACAACATCAGCAACTTGTGCAGCTACTGTCATCTTTCACCAAACCATTGACGCCGGGATCGGGCGCGGGGTAACAAATAACAACAGTACCCTCAAGCGACTAAATTAAATTCAAGGAAAACCCGTTAATGTTAAAGCAAATTTATGGCCTTGGCAGCCTCGCGGCGTGAAAAATCAGTCGAAATAAACATAAATAAAAAATAAACAGCGAACAAAATTCGCCTGACGAATGAAAAAGTACGCTCACCAAGAGGTTTAGGCAAGTCCATGCTGTGTTGCGCCGGCCAACAGTAGAGAGTCATGGCCCCTCTTCTCAAGCCTCTTCGGTAATCAAACACGGAAATGTTGACCCATGCCACGCCTCTAGGTTCCTCTTTCCTCTTCTGTGTTTGCTGGTGCTGCAGGGGCGACGGCTCTTCTAAGATAGCGAGACAGAGACGAGCGCTTCGGGGCAAGTCGCATACGGCGATGTCGAATGTTAAGGAACTATCGATGTTCACATCGTCATTCTTAACCTGCCGAGGATCCGTTTGTTGCTTCCCACAGAGAGCCAGAGATCCGTGATACAGACCTCCAACCACACGCACCGCAGTGGTACCTTGACCTATCAAGTTCAGTTTAGAGATGCTACCCAACTCAACTCTGAAATCTTCGCTCACTGTCCACGAAGACACGACGTTAAGGCTTTTCTTTTTGCTAAGGGTCATGTTGGAGAAGGATTTACGGACGCCGTCACTCGTCGCATCTGGTCCTTTGATTTCCATGTACTGATTTTCGTTTTCACTAACGTCTATCTGATCTCTTTCAACGACAATGAGCCGCAAAGCATGCTGCTCTCGCGTCGCCAAGTGATCTTGGACGTTTATGTACCGGAACAAGGGCACTTCTTCCACCAGATATTCTTCCCTCCCGAGAGTTTTGAAAATGTACTTAGATTTATCAAAAATACCAGACGGTTGCCGAGTGAGCTCAATTGTATTGAATTTACTCAAGGCTAACTCCATCAAACCGTTGGGTAGAATATCGGGCTCGACGCGAACAGTAAAAGTCGATCCAACCTGGCGCACCTCGAACGAAAATGCTACGGACACATAAATGTGTTTTTGGTTCGCTTCGATTAGCTTCTTTTCGAGGTAAGATGGCATCGTATGGGAGGGATCAATGCTGCATGGATATTTATATTGGACTCTTTTCTTCCATGGCCAACTTGCCCTCTCCTTAACAACTTCGTCACAGAGGTCTTTCGCTTTCCATCGAAACTCATTAACTTCGGGATTTTTCAGAGCTGCGAAGTCAGCAAGATTCTTGTCGATAAGTTTTCCTATTTCATGGTTTAGAATTTTTTCAGCTTCATTGCCTTTCCTTTCAATAACCTTCAAAAAGGTGAGGAAGGGAGCGACCTCTTTCAAAGTGATCTCTTCGTCGAGAAGTTCGACGATATCGGCAGGGGCATTAGGGAGCTTCGACGTACTGCGTTTAGCAGGAGTCGCGAAGTGATAGTTGTTCATGTCGTGTAGGAGACCATAAAGCGGATACTCACGTGCTTTCTCCCACAGATCAGACTTTATTTCGGCCAGTGAGGCGGAGTTACTAACCCTGAGGATTATGAGCACGCCGTTGGGCATGATAAAGTGCATTTCAGTCGAGATGTCGGATGCATTAAATAATAGGCCCCGAAAGTCCTCCATTTCCGCGTATACAGGAAGCTGTGTGGAGGTGGGGAGTGGGGCAGAGATGTACGGATGAGTAAGTAGGGTGGCCATTTCGTGAGACTGAGAATTCGATAATGAATACGAAGAAGAAAATGAGGGGCGTGGGGAGCTGGGTTTAGGGCTCAAAGAGGATGGCAAAGGCGAGGCATCGTAGTTGGAAGAGCCTGAAGAAGAGGCTCCTAATAGCAAGGGCTCCTCGCTAATGCTGGGCGACAAGAAGCCACTTGTTCGACGAGGAGAAGACGACGGCGAGAAAAGCGTGTGTGTCGAGAATGAGAAGCTGGAACGAGGAGCCGTGGGCGGCGGAGAAGAACAATCTGCAACAAAACACGAAACAATCAATAAATATGAGAAAATAAGAGACAAAATAAATTGTTAGTAATTCGATCGAAATATTCAATCCATGTTCACATGAAAAAATTGTCATCAAAATACGATAAGAAACTGATTTTTAATAATTAAAACGTCCGAATTTGCAGTGGTAGACAATGAACAAAACTCATACTGTCAAAATTGTACACAGAACTTGTGCCAACCCTAACAAAATTTAGAGTCGCCCCAGCTTCTGGTAACCCAAATCAGAAGCTGCTGCGTCTGTAAATTTTCACAGGGAAGAAATAGTCCCTAGCGTCATAAGCTCATTTGTGACCCACCATTCATACTGATGGCCCGACCCGTTTTTCTATTGCGAGGTTCGGTGTTGTAAGTGCAGTTTATTGTAGGTATTTTGTGGTGAGCCTCTAAAGTGTTACGTCGCGGTCTGGGGGGCATCATCCCCTCTACCTTCTCCCCGTTGGTGGGGAGAGTACGATGGCAGCCTTCAGGCAGGCTTTTGCGGTGACGTGTTGGCATGATGCCGTCACAACGTAACCAGCATGTGATCAAATATGAAGTATGCGAGCTATTTTATAATTTAATTAATTTTTAATGGCGACACTAGTTTCATGAACTATTAAATTCAGCGTTAAATTTCGACACCAGTATCATGGAATATTAAAAATTCAGCGTTCAATTTCGACACCAGTTTCATGAACTATCAAATCCAGCGTTCAATTGCGACATCAGTTTAATGAACTATCAAATAACGCAATCGATTTTTGACGTCTATAACAATAAGTAACGATATATGAACTGGACTTAGCGCCGTTAAAATATTATCGTATACTACAGGTAATGGAAGATAATATCGGTCTGCCAGACTTGTTACAGTATGAAATAAAGGTACATTTTATGTAATGATAAGCAAGGTCATGGCGACTTCGTTATCATGCATAGATATCGCACACACAGGGGTGATATAACTTAAAAGTTTTCCCGTCAATGAGGTAACTTTATCACCTACTTCCCACGCTTTGAATTAACGAAATCTACCGTTGACTTAACACGTAATTGAACTATTATCTCTTCTCCGTTCAGGCCGGTTTACTCTGAAAATTCAGGTTACAAATCAATTCGAAATCATTTAATTAATACGACGTGGTTAGCCGTTTTACTTTCTTCATGAAAGATATAAAGCATAAACAATTCACTGCGTGGGAAAATACGTTGTTAAATGCTAATACTTATTGGATAAATGAAATAACCATAAGATGAGGCCATCATTGACGCTCCTTCACATTTGATCAGTGCTAACGCTAAAGTTTTATCAAGTTAACACACGAAGGTCGTGTACATAAAAGTTCACACTAGTGCATCACACATAGCATTTTTATGCAGTCGATTACTCCAGCCACAGAACTACATATGTTTTCATTCAAAAACTATAACGTAATTTCTGTTCACGAGTCTTAAAATTCAAGTTCATGGAACAAGTCAGAGTGACAATCAAGGAGCACCTAGCACCCTGACATGACCACAGCCACTGGGGGATTTTTTGAACAGAGAGGATATGTATAGAGATAAGGAGCCGCACAAGATAACACGCATAAATACAAAGTACAACGTTACGTCTCCATAAACAAAGACATAAGCGTTGTGACAGGAAACCAACCGCTATCTCTGATTACGCCACTTAGCAATGAGTGCTTATCATTAGAATACTACATTTAATTTATGATTGAAGATGTTGTTCAATGTAAGTAAAAGTTGAACACATGATTGATTCAACCAGTTGCACTATCTTTCTCTATTCATTGAACCATGTATGAAAAATATAATTCAGGTATCATTATTGAGTAAAGATAGCATCTGACTTTGAAAATATTATCAGAAAATTTAGATGTCATTATTGAGTAAAAATGGCTTCTGACACTGAAAATATTGTCAAACAACTCAGATGTTATTATTGAGTAAAGATATGGTAGCATCTGACATTGAAAATATTAACAGAAAACTGTACTCCCTCTGAATTACGCCTATTAAAGGCTACATAAACAAGTGACCATAATAATTGACATATTGAAATATTTGACTCATTTTCATTATTACCAACTATATCTTACCAGTTTTTCCACAGTTAAACACTTTCATTGTGACTCCTAAAGTGGTACATATAAAAAATATAAGTGCACATACTGCAAAATGGCCTACATCAGTGGGTCCCAAAATGGGTGGTACTGTCCCCCTGGGGGAGGTGGAAAGATCTGGGGGGGGCAGCAAGGTTCAAATTGCAGCATACCAAATATAAAAAAATATAACTTAGTACTCACTGCAGTGAGTGACAGAGCACGCATTTTCTCTTAGACGAAAATGTGAAGTCATAGATGAACAGACAGACGGACATGGCGAGCACAATAGTGCATTTTTCCATAAATGAGAAAATGCACTAAAAAGAGTTGTTTCCATATATCTGTGGGAAAGCACTAGGAATTCACTGGGGAGCCAAGGGGGCGCCAGCTGGCTAAAGTTTGGGAACCACTGGTCTACATCATAAACAAATTGCTTTGAATGGAAAATTTAAGAAACAAAATGGTGATATTTGATGGCTATGCAGAATACTAATTCACAAATTTTCTTACAAAAAATACATTAGAAACAAAGTAACTAATTGAATAGCAAGTAAAGCAAGTACCAAGGACAGAAAAAGGTGATCATAACTAACAAGATCTATTACAGTGAATCTGATAAATAAACTGTAATCAATGTTAACAATTATTTTATAATTCTACAGTGAATTTTTAAACATGTATGTACATATCTACAAACTTCCTTTGGTGCCTGTAAGACAGGATGCAGCAGCGTAACCCGTTTGCTGGGCAGTGTTAGCCCAGCTAACGTGTTGAGGAGAGGAGTGACAGAGAAGCCAAGGCTTTATACCTATTTGTAATATTTTCTCCATACACAGAGAGAAGTAAATAAAACATCTATCATGTTCATGCAGGTGATGCAGCATGAAAATTTGGGACAGATAATATATGAACAAATACACTTGGCAGAGTGGATCAGAACTTTCAGAAGACTAGTGATTAGATCTACAATGAATAATGCAGCTGTCATTTTTAATGAATATTTGACTCAGCTAATTTAACATTGAATATATGAACCACCATTCCTAGAATAATACACAGATTGTAATGCCAAAAATTGACTACTAAACATTTTTATTATATGAAATTCAACAACTCATTCAAATAAAAATGCTCTTACTATATTTCTAATATTATTAATATTTTGCAGTAGGCAAGTAAATTTTTAATATCCAGCTTCCCATGAAAACATTCAACATGATAAATTAGTATTTTTTAAAAACTCCTATTAATAATAAACAGGAAATGGTTAAGCTTCAGCATAATCTGTAAGAGAGTTTTTTTATTACATAAATGGACTCACGACAGATAAAAGTTTTTTTAGCACTGCCTACCACCTGATAGCAGTCAGTGTCAGGGTGTTGTTGCCTTGGAACATGAAAGTTAATGGACAATAAATAATTAAAAAATTATATTAACAATACCGTATAACATCATGTCAACCTAGTACCGTAACTAATATTAGCCTAATTAGGCAGAAGCCACCTGTGAATGAGACAAAAATGCCTTTGATTTCAGAAACTTTTACATTTTCTCAGGGCTTTTTCCATATATCTTCATTAAAAACAAGAAAAAAATATTTTCTCTTTTGGTTAATATTTTTGGTTTCTTGGTTAAATAAATTACCTTAGTTTTATGTAAAAATGTACCAAGTCGGCAAGTGACATGACACTGAGTGACTGAGAACCAGCTTATGGTCAATGTTCTCAGATAGTGAGTGAGATACACGTTAAATTTACACAGAAACTAGAGAGATGATCTCTGTAATGAATTTTCTTGTCGCAATAATTTATCTTCATTAAATGGGATAATTAATAACTTGCGGTCTTTGCAATTGCAAAGCAAAAAAGATTAATATTTTACTGTATTTGGTTATCATATTGTTTTGCTACAACATTTGCTTCATAGTTTTGTTAAGTCTTACACTTACAGTCTTGGTGGTTTGGTGCTGTTATAGGTAAATACAGTTACCTAGTTATTACATTACTTATATACTTATCAGCACTTTTTCAACTATCTATAAGTAACAGCCTAACAATATGGTATGCAACAGGTATGGAAAAACTTCCTATACCAACAAATCAATAATCATTAACCAATCATATAAGAAATTAGATGTTTCCAACTTCCAAGCCTTGAATTACCTAGCCACTTCAGCAATTCAATTGGAACTTTGGAAGGCTGGATTTTCCCCGATTTGAAAAAAATGAAAACTAAACTACTAACTAGATTAGGGACTTGACTTTCTAATGAAGCTCAGAAAGAGTACAAAAGTTTACACCTTCGCACACTGCATTAATTTTACTCACACAACTGACACAAGGCGCTAACGCTAACGGCTGATCTCACACGATTTTTTTAATAAGTAACAGGAATTATTAGATTTAGATGTGTAATTATAATACAAAATTTATTCTAAACTCACCAATATATACGCGAATTTCAAATCAACATGTAATAGTTAGGATCATTCATAGGTTAATTAGGAATCTGTATCCAACTTTTAATCACATCTTGTTGAATGCTCTGCCACATCAATCGCATGCACAAATACTCGGAGATTCACACCTACGCACTGAGTTGGGAGTGACTGACTGTTTACGAAGCAGAGTGTGAGGTGAAGCAACTTATAAAACTTACAGAAAACTCTAGAAAGTATTTGTTACTCTGGCGGACAAACTTTGAATCCCATTCCAAAATATGAAAATTCTGCATTAATGCAAATTTTTTTCATTTCAATTTAAAACATCGGTTACTTGGAGTTGGAAAGTAGTACTATGCTCATAAACGTATATCATTGATATATGGTATTCATAGGAAAGTCGTTACATATTTATGAAAATTATCAAGTCAGACGTCGATGCTGGAAGCAATAATTTTTTTATATATTTTACACGTCAGATTCTTTGGTATTATTGAACGGACTCGCTGACACTGTAAATGCAATAATTTTAACCTGCCTTGCGAGTGATTCAAAGGTCATAAAATGTAAGACAATAATTCTATAAATGAAAAAGCAATGACTAAGTTTTTGTAAATTCTATATCTTATCAAAGCAGTTAATAGTTATACTAGACGCGTAAACAGATTTTTACAGTGATCTAGATTCTAGTAAAATATGAAATGTATTGGGAAATAGCTGATGACTGGCATTTATTACTTACTCTGAACATTTTTCGTGTTTTTCGACAGAGCTTGGCCGAGTTTCAGTAAATAAAAACAGTTTAGCAAGGTCCTATGTAGCAAACAATGCCAAATTAATAGTGTCAGGCCGGATAGTTAAGAACAACCGGAACGGAACAGTGAGTTGCGGGCATGAGACCCAGCTAGCTATGAAAATTCACCGATTCCACATTTTTACGAACTCGCCTGGAAACTTGCTATTAATTTTCATTTAGCAAATCGTTCTAACTGAACGAGTTTGCGATGCAATTTAGAAATCCTAATAAATTTTTGCTTTATGATGCACTATGAAAAAAAACATTTATAGGCGCTCTGCACGCTTTAGTCATTTAGAAAACGAAAATTCTATTAAAGAGTTAGGGCGCTAAGACAATCCTAAATTAATAATTGAAATCAATAATTTTTATCTCATTTTAACAGATCATGAAGATAAAATATTTTTTTGCAGATCAAGGACAAACACGTTTAAAAATCAAACAATGTTTTGACGTAAAACTTATCCTCGGATGTATGAAGTTCACTATTCATAAGCGTTACAAGGGAGTCATGGACTTGACATGTACATGCGTTACAGGCATGGTTGAATTAAATTTTAAATAACTTAAAAAATTAATTCAACCATGCGTTACAGGGACTTGAACTTGGGGTGTTGAAGCAAGATGAATTTCAGACTAAGCATTCGATAAAAACTAATTTAACGATAACGATTGACCAATTTAACAAACGCTCGGAC